TATATATATATTTAAATGCTATATACTTTTAATATATATAATGTTAATTATAAAATAATAGAATAAAATAATTATATCAGTTAAAACGGTTACAAAAACTGTTACCTAAATATACAATGATGTAAAGTATATTTAGGTACTAAAATTATCAGTTCCTGTTCCATTTCTATTGTACTCTTAAATTTTCACTTTAAACTGTGAAAATTACGCAATAAATATCTTATTAGTGTAACAAATTAGTTTTAATTTCTGATTTTCCTACAAAATTATGATTTACGAAACATTATCTTATACTTATAAGTTGGTTAAAGAAATAACTCATTTTACCAGTCTGTAAATACAAATTCTATAAATTCTAATTTTTAACAATCTAATTATCAGTTATTATTATCTGGTAATACAGCCTTAAATTTTTAGTTTATCTAAAATATTTAGTTGACAAGAAATTTTACTATCCATAGATTTAAACTATTTGACGAAAAATAAATATGTATATTACACACAAAATAATTAATATTCTCCAAAACATTGAAATATTTTACTATTTTTAATAATCACTTTTGTATTTAATTTTTCAATTATGTTTAAATATATTTTCAACTAAACTAAAAAAAAATAATATTTTTCTTAAAAATAATTTGCGGCTACATTACCTACATTAATATATCAAATTTAAATCAATTTTAGTATTTTAAACAACATTGTTAAAACCTATATTAAAAATTTCTTTAGCAAAATGTGAAAGTTTTAAATTTTTTTTCTTCTTGTAAAAATATTTCTCATAATATTTATTAACAAACCTTTTGTTTTTCTACTAATGCATCTGCACAAAAGGCAAGTAAACTTACAAGATAAGGCTATCAGGAATAATGTTTTCTTATTGTTTTGATACATTCAAAATCCCATTGATATATGGACATCCATTCTAGCGAATCGAGGGAAATAAACGGATCTGATTGGATACTCATGAGAAATACCTTCTAAAAGATATTCATTTATGAATGGAAATCACATATTGCAGATAATAATAATGATGGATATTTTGTAGAATTACTATACATTCAATGCAATCTTTGGTGAGAATGATTATTGCTTTTTCCAAAACACAAGATAAGGATATCATTAATCTATGGTCATTTTCTTTTTGGATTTTATTTTTGTCATAGATAATAAAAACTAAACATATTTTTCTTTTTTTCTTGAAGTTACGGTTTGAGGAAGTTTAAATAATAAAGATATTTGAATCTTATAAAGTGAATGTGTGTTTTAAAATTAAAATAATATACATTAATTTCGATGCTTTTAAACATTTTTCTCTTTTAAACGCTTACATCTCTCTATACTTAAAACTGGTAAGAGCAGCCGACACCGAGGCAGTTTTGGGTGTTCACCTTAATGATGCATTTTGTTTTACTGCGCAAAAAACGTAAGGTTTTGGAACTTGAAATTACTAGGGTGTATAAAAAATGTACACGGATTAAGAAAGATGGAATAAGAAAAAAAATAAACTCTCAATTGATTGATCTAGCGTCCGCTGTTAAACTTGTTAAAAAATAACCATACGGGTCGCTGTGCAGGATTACGATTTGACATGCTGAAAGGTTCTTACATTGATTCTTGTTTTGTTTCTTGTTATGTGTTTTGATTGTTTCAAAAGGTATTTGTTTATGAACTTTAAATTACAATTTGTTCGAAAATTTTTGCCCCTTAAAGTGCTTTTTTTTTTAGTTTTTTTTTTCAAAATTATTTTTAATTTACGATACATTTTTGCTTTGTTACACACAATTTATAAAATTAGGAAACTTGAAATTGCAAGGGTGTGTTGAAAAAGTACAAAGAGTTCGATGGAATAAGAAATATTTGATTCGATTATCAATTCTGGAATTATTAACTGTTAAAGTTGCAGTTAAAAATACCATGTTGGTTGATCTAGTGTCTGCTGAAATCTAATTACAGAGTTGAAATTTGAAATGATAGGACCATTTTAAATACATTTAGCGTAAAGTATTTTTCGCAATTTCTATTTGTTCGAAAGTTATTGCAATTTTGAGTGGTTTTGTTTGCAAATTTTTTCTTTGAATAATAATTATTTATCCATTATTGTAGAAATATTTATTAGTCTTCGTAGTCAAACAATGCCGTTGTTTTATAAGTCAATCAAGTTCGACGCACAGTCACGTGACATCGCTTACAGGTATCCAATTAAATCTGACTTAAATCACATGGCTAGGCATAATCATTTCACTTCTTCTTGAGTTGCAGGTATCCAGTTTTTATTTTATAAACTCGCATTTCACTCGAAGTCAAAAGTGGAAAAAAATGAATAAATAATAAAAAATTATTATAACAATTAAAAATTGTAACAAATTATCTTATAATAAAATTATTATAATATGTAAATATGTATTATACACATAAATATATTTATATATATTGTATATATAAATTTATATTATATGTAACAATAATTAAAAATATATTATATATATAATTATAATGAATTATATAAACTATAATTATAATACTAATTAAATTTATCACAGCGAATAAGTAATAAGAAATAAGAGTCAAACCAGATAGTACCCGATATAAATATTAACATTTATATTGAAGTTTTCAAAAATATAAATATTGAAGAGAGTTTTCAATGCAAACTTTTATATGATGCAGGGTTATCATTATACAGTATTACAAATAAAACTACATCTCATTTGTCCCTGCTTATTGTGGCGCATATTTCGTAATGTATTGTTTTGCATTTTGTATTAATATATTATGTGATAACTTTAATTTAATTAAGTACATATTGAGTATTTTTGGAATAAAGCTATCCTTTCACTTCGTTAGGATTAACACATTAATGAAATGTGCTTACTTAAATTTATAATAAAAATTTATTTCATAAACGATCATATTTTCATCTTTTTTTTTACTTCAAAGAAGAAGAAAAACTTTTTAAAAGATCAAGGAGGAAATCAATTTACGTCTATGTAAGTTGATTCCGAGAGAAAACAAATTTGTTCACGGACACTAACTTTACACAACTCTGCCCATCTTCACTGAGTAAAAACTCTCGGGAATTACCAATTTCTCGATTTGTCATGTTATTGATTTCCCAATGTTAAATCAACCTTAAAATGCAACAGGTGGAGATCCAATGGTAACTTTTTTTTTTTTAAAAATGAACATAAACCATTTATCCTTTTTAAACTTTAATGATAAATGAGAATCAACCTCGGGGGTTGGTAAGTTGGTACGTTCTTTCCCCTGAGCCTTAGTGGCTCTTCTGAATAAATTAATAATAGGCTAATATTACTTAATATTATGTTACTGATTATATTATTGATTGTTTTTTTTTCTTCAGGACTCTGTTACAAACTTGGCTGGATGAATGCTCAAAATAGATATGATATTTAAGATTGATTCAATCTGTAAGCTGTATCATCTTGTAGGATACGTAATTATGGTTAGTTCTCTAATTCTCGGATACATATTTTGTTCTATTTTATTTTTTATTTATTTTATTTTTATTTATTTCATTTTTTATATTTTCTTAAATTTATTTTTTTAATTGAATTTTTTTAATGTAATTTTTTTCAATTTTGTTTGTTTTAATTTTGGAATTTAATTTTCAAATTTTTCTAAAAAATTTTTAACTTATTTCTTAATTTATTTTTTATTTTGGTATTTTATTTTAGTTTAATTTAAGAACGTTATAGATGTATATTGATCTACAGTGTATCAAAATGTAACTATTCTTCAAATGAGTATAAAAAATTTTATCTAACTTCAAAGAAAAAAGAATGAATTAATTCTGATAACATCTCTTCGATTCACACGAGGTGGTATAATTTCCACTAATCTTCCAACTCCAATACAATCCAAGTTATTCGTTAGTATGTTCAAAGGCGCATGTAATCCAAGTCCCGCTGCTGGTATTGAGAGCAATTATCATGTTTCAGGTCAAGTTAATCTCACATTCTCAAATGTTGCTGGCAGACGCTTACCCTAGCAATTACTACCACAGAAACTTTAGTATTCCCACCAAATCAGAAGTACGGAGAGGAATTAACATTGACTTGCAAGTCGCGACGGAAGCTCCAAGCTCTAAATTAAAATTACAAGAGGTTTTAGAAGATATGATGCAAGCAGCTCAAGAAGGATTGGAGGAAAGCGATAGTGTAACTCTCTGTCCCACTTGTTCGGATTTGTTGAAGGAAAAACCTTTAAGAAAGTAAGTGAAATTGCTAACTAAAGTTGCATGCATTCATTCATTTATTTACTTCACTTATTTATTTACTTATTGATTTATTTTTCAGGAACTACATTTATTTTTAAATAGCACATATAGATATTAAACTATTTCATTACATAGTTACTAGAAATTAGTGACAAACACTAATATAATATTTAACTCTTTTGCGATTTTGATTTGTGAAATCTACTTAGCATACTGATTGAGATTTTTAATATAGTAATGTTTTTTTATCTGTAAATATTATAATAGTGGTTTTGTTTTGTGGATTTGGAACATTTAAAATAATAATTTGACACAGAAAAATTAACAAGAAGTTTAGTTTGGAAATAGAGCAAGCAAAACTTGATTACATAAAGTTGATTTTATGTCCGTTCCTATTCATATTTCATGACTGAAAAAATGTCAAAAACCAAATTTTACAAATTGTCAAAAAAGAGCACTTTATTGATTTATGTATAATTAGGAAGCTCAACAACTGCCCATTTTGTTCACCAGTCCTCACGATTTCTTCGTAATTATCTCTTTTGTTTGACGATAACTGGAATTTTGCATCGAAATTAAAATTTACTCAATCAATAGATTCTTGACATTCTTTTTTTATTTTTCTAGCACAAATTTAGATATACATATTTAGTTTCCGTTTCTATCGGAAAAAATCCAAACCTAATTAGTTTACTCACTTAAAACTTCATAATAACAGAAAATAAAATTAAAAGAAATGATAAATAAAAATAACAGGTTACTGCAGCTAAATGGGGAATAAATACAGGTAAATAATAGTTCTAAATAATATGTATTTGCTGATGACAGCAAAAGAAACTTATATCCTCTTTGTTCATAATTGATCATAGCATATGATTTTTTAATAAGATGATATTTTCACGAAAAGGGAAAAGGCCAATTATTAATTTTTTTTTTGATCTACAACGAAACTTCCTTTACAAAAATTAAAATCTGTAGAATATAAATGAAGTTATAATTATTACACAGATTTCTCCCGCTGTTACTGACTAAATACATAATTTAATTTCAAAATAATACAAAATATTTTTTGTTGTTCAATTATTACTGTTATACATACATTTTTCTAATTCACCTAAATAATTCAGATATTAATAAATTAAAGCACCAAGGTATAAAACAAATATTATGGAAAACTACGGTAGTATGTTCATGTTCTCCGACATTCATTCATTAAAAAATTAGAGATGATTCAAGTTTTGCCACTTTCTGTAGAATAATTACTCCAGACTTCGATCAAAAATAGGTTAACAGGAAGTATGCCCCTTTCACATATAAAAGTGATTTCATTAAGAACTAGGCAGTTTACAAGTTACTCTTCTATGGCAACTATACTCTTCAGTACAGCTGAGTTATTTTTTTAACCATGGATGGATTTTAGGTGAGGAATCGCAATTTCCATTTGCCCTCCTCTCTCGCCAGTGCTTCTCTGTTATGCTCTTATAAGGTCGAGGTCTGGAGAACTGACTGGTTATAAAATCCAACGAATATTTCACTATTCACAAAATCTTTGACCAGTTAAGCGCTTAGTGGCCGCATGTTGTCTTCCATTAAACTTTCCATAAATTGGTTAAACAATCATGCTGCAACCAAACTGTAAACTATTTTCCTGCTTTATATTTAGAGAGAGTAAAAAGGGCACAAGTTAAAGACTTTTTAGTGCAAGAAATGAAATTAAAAATAATAATTACCAAATTTTTAATTCGTTTATTTAAAATTTTCAAGCACAGCTAAGCTGTGAAATACAATAAATTTTCTAGTGAAATTAAGAACTTTGGCACCAAAACTTCTAGTCAATCAGTTTTGAAGTTTAATAAATTAATTTAAAATTTTCATCAACAATTAATCCATACTTTCGTTTGCATTATATTGATTCCTGTCCTTAAAAGCTCGATGATTCGAACTACGACGTTGACATTATATCTCAAAATTTCTAATGGTCATGGAGAATGCAAACATTTCTTGTCTTTGCTTCTTGAATGCATAATAGATTTGGCTTCTCCAAACACTGTTGATGTGTGAATAAGACTTTAGTTTAGAAAGAACTTGAAAGTGAGACTTTAGAGCCATTGTTTCATCAAATTTAAAAGTTAAAATAGCTTATTTGAGAAATCTCTTAGCTTCATTTTATCATATCTTGACATAATTGAGTTTTATAGAAGTATTAAGTATTCTGACATGAAATAATTTTTTTCAAAATTGTTTATGTTGTTATGGTTAGACACCCGTAAGAATAGATCAGGTAATAACGACCAACATTGTTGTCAACGAAATAAAAGTTTATTTAAAAGTTCGCTTAGAAAGAAAAAAATATGTCTTTTTTCCTCATAACTATGCATCAACTTATTTTTTAAAAGGCACACTTAAAAAACTGAATGAGTTAAATTTAAGCTTTTGCCTTATCTAACATTTTCTCTGCTCTTTTGTTTTTATTAACTATCTCTTTTTTTAACAACATAACCCTTTACTAAAGTAAAATTTTACTTGCCAATCTGGATAAAGCATATTTTTTATTTGTTCACAACTTTGTACTCGCAAAATAATAATTGTTTATTTTTATCTTATACTGAAGATATTACCTACTGAGATAAAAGAGTTTATATGTCTGTATGTATATTTCTCAAACAATTTTAGAACCAGTTTGTGATAGCACGTGCTAGATTTAATTTTAGTCTCTAATCTTAAAAATCGTTCTATCTTTTCCTTCGTTCAAGTAGGATTTACGAAAAACAAATTTTCTTTTAAGATTAGAATGGGATACCTGCAAGTGACGCAGTGTGGGTATCTTGATACTGATTGGTTGTTGAAACGCGTCATTTGTTTACGTTCGCAACTGTTCTTTCCATTTTATTTCGAGTAATTCAAGCCCGTCAATCATCAATTCACTATACATTTCATACTAAACACAAAGCCCGGCAGGAATCCAAGTAGAGCATAAACAAACTAATTAGGAATCAAAGTTTCCAGGTATACGAAACAAAAAAATATATCTTGATTACAATAAATAGAGAGACAAATATTAATTATAGTTTAAGTATAAGAAGCAGAGTAGTGAGAATTATATTTCAACAAATTTGATGTGCAATACGGCGTCGTATCTAATTAACTTCACGTTTATTTGCATTCAAACTTATGCGGGGAAGCTAAGCTCAACTTGAACAAGGCATTTTGCTTATAAACGATCAGCTGGTGCTGGCATCATTGGTCATATGTGTGGGTATCCACAATCTTCTTTAAGTGCAAGTACCCAATTGTGTACTTTCCCATTTAAAGTACTATATTTTCATTTATTCTAGCTACTATATTTTCATTTATTTTAACAACTATATTTTCATTTATTTAAACACAATAACAAATTTTTTTTCTAATGTATAGCTCTTTCTAATAATTAAAAATTAATTTCAGTAGAACTTGATTTTTTATATTATTCGGATTTATTATATTTATTATATTCATTATATTACTCCTTTTTTTGTTGGTTTTTAATGTCAAGAGTACAAAAGTAAATTCGAAGTGTTTTGATGACATTTAGGGCTGACGCCAATTCATTTAAACATGTGTTTCCACTGTTTGAAATTCGCTTTTAAAACGTCATTCTATGTACCTATCTAAAATCAACGGAATCAGGGCAAATTAAATTAAAGTTGCGCAATAAAGTTTAATTTTAGCAAATGTTAGTTCCACCGTTTTCATGCCGACATTACATCTTCATCTCTCTTTAAAGTTTTATTGTTAAGAGCAATTAAACAATGATAGTTAGCATTTACGTTTCTTTGCTCATTACGAACTAGTGTTAATCTATCATAAAAATGACATGAGTTTTGCGATTAAATTTTAATTTGCCATTTAAAAATTTTTAAGCGAGATATTTGATTGTTAATGATTCCGAAAAGATGAAAGGGTGTTGTTTCAGTAGAATTTTGAATTTTAAACCTTTAGTTTTATTTTAAACAGATTTTTGAATTTTAAACCTTTACATATAAACATGCAAAAGAATCCATTCTTTGATCTTTGGTTTGAATAGATAAACATTCTGTTTTCCTTATTTTTAAATAAACTTTGAACATTAAACAAACTGCTTCAGAAGGAAATGTTTTTGTCTAGTGTCGTTTATATACTTCAGGATATTTATCAACCTACGATTTTAACGAATTCGAAGCAATAGAATAAAGTTTAAATTAAAATGGAAAGGATACTGCTTTGTATTTTTCTTTAAACAAACTTGCAAAATACCATCAAACGCTTGGAGCTATTCAATCTTTTTTTAACAAAATGGCCATTTAAATATTTTTTTAATGTTTTGTTATAACTGTCCTTTTCTGTGTTTTGTTATACAAATAAGGATGCTTCATTAGATCAGATGCTTATTTTTTAGGTAAACACAGACTCCACGTCTACGATACTATGTTAATCCAGTAATTATTTTTTTCCATTATTATTGCGATTTTGTTTCTTATTATCTCTAGAAATGAATCTCAAAGATAGACTGAATTTTTTACTTGCTGGAGGCAAACGGAAATGTCTCATCTGGATTAAAAAATGGTGGATATTTTGTAATGGGATACGAGCCAGTGACGCATTTATAAAAAAAAACCGTTTATTAACTGCTTTCACTTTATATGGTAAAACAATCAGGATTTTATAACACTAACCTAGTCCATGTAATGAAGCCACTTAATTCCTTGCAGCTCAGTACATAATATAGCCGAGTGGGCTAATCTGTCAATCTCATGAGTGGCAGGATAAGGTTTTAAGTGCAGTGTCTTACACTCCCCACTTTGTGACCCTGGACTATTAGAATGCAATATTCTCATTTACACATAGATGGTAGCACCATAAAGCTGCGTAGCATAAAAAAAGTCGACTATTTCCCATCTCTTACGATAATTGTAATAACCAGATAAAGTAATTAAACCACATTCTATGCTCATTTGATAAAACACAACCCAACCACATTCTAAATCCAATGCCCATTACCAAACAAAAGCCCTAACTTCAATGTACCGATGAATTTCTTTTTCTACGGTTTTAAAACCATGCTAGTAGTAAATAGTTAAGAAAACGCATAAGTTTGTTTTTATGGTTTTTCAACCATGCTAGTTGTAAAAGGTTTCAAAACAGTAAAGGTAAAAAAAAATGGTTGGTTGTTTCTAATGCCACTTGCCAACGGGCAAGTCTGCTTGGTGAAACAGAGTGTGCGTTTCTTGTTTTTCAGTGGGGCCATCTATGGCCAAGAATACGACTTCTGCCACATCCGTTTTATAGAGCGGCGGACCCATTCATACATCCATTCATTCATCCACAGATCGTAATTTTGACCTGAATCAGAGAACGATTGATCTCCAATCCAGTACTCCCAGAGGTATTGATTTGCTACGGGAACATGGATGACTTTTGCGACTCGACAGATTTAACGTGCATCAGTCACTTTACTACACGGGGAGTCTTCGACCGGTGGGGTTCGACCCCACGAACTCTCGGACATGGGCCCAGCACCCTACCGACCAGGCTATTCTTTGCCGTAAGCTTTACTGTTAATTGAATGAGCAGACTGCCTCCAATAATTTTACTGTAATTTTGAAAAGAAAATTCCTACAGTGCAAACCTGAACATTTATTAGTAATAATTAATTGAATAAATATAATCATTTTCAGGATCATTGAAGAGCTAAGACCAGGTTACCCTTGCGATGACTGGGATCCCAAGGAGCGCACCTGTATCTTTGATCGCAACATCGGTGACAGTGTGACATTTGTACTTGACATTCCTCAAAAGAAATTTGACAACTCACTTCACATTGTGTGGATGCAAGAGTTTGAAATAATGAAATCGAAGACCAGGAAAAATTTTACAATTGATCCAAGTAATTATTTCTTTTTGTGACATATCTTTTAACATTAGTTGTATAAAAGTAAGAGATTCCTGTTTTGGGGATCTATTCTTCACTCCTGGTATAACATATTTGTATTATGGCATTTCAATCCATAATAATGAAATTAAGAGTTAGCACTATCTTTTAACATTAAATGCGTTTGAGCTAGCATCCTGAAATTTTAACTACGGGTGCAATGGGTAGATTTAGTTCTCTAATTCAAGGATTTTTATCAGATGGCGTGGAATGAATTTTTCTCAAAGGAATTGCGCTACACATTGTTGCAATTAAGACTGGATGAGATTATGCTTATTGTAATTATTTAAGAGATAGCATCAGTGATATGCAGCCGTTAACAACTCACTTTGCTTTAAAACTATTTTCACTTCAAAGCTTATTTCTCGTGACTTTAAGAATTATTTATTTTCGATTCATTATGTAAAGTAAGCACTAGAAAAATAATATGAAAGCAATGTCAATGAATTAGTACTCGGAAATTATCTTAAACAATGCGTTTATTTTTGTTTATATTTATGCTTTGGAATGATGATATTTTTTTAAAAAAAATCCTAAATATATACCATCGTGCTGGGTCACCTCGGAAGGAGGAGTTGAAGAAGGGGCTTCGGTACTGAAAGTGATCTTCAGCTTTGACGCCATCTTTCAGCTGGTCTTGTGTTAGTTATGTACCGTGTTGATTCTAGTGTGTTATAAATCATAAAAATAAAATCTTCAATAGCTCACTTTATTTTATTACCGAGAAGATATAGATTTTGCATCCTTGTTTTAAGTCATTTCCATTCATATATTCTTTGTCGATTTCTAATATTGATTAGTAAAAAAGAAATGTTGCATATTAAAACAATGGTAGATTTGTTAATTGGTATTATCTTGGATGATGAGGATACGAAATTCTAGTTCTAGAATTTTAAATATTTTCATAAAAATGTTAAACAAATATTTTGGTTTTTCAGATTTAATAAGAGTAAAAAGTAGAAGGAATATTTACCATCTTTAATTAATCAAAAAACCACCAACTAAACGTATAAAAATATTGTATAACATCTAATTGAAACAAATTTTAATCTGTTTTGACTTAATAATTTTTTACATTAAGGTTGGTAGGAACTTTATTTGCGTCACACTAGAGCTGCATAAAGTGCTACAAACGATGATCTGGGAAACATCCCTGAAGATGATTTGATGACATGCCGTCACAATTTTGATGGCAGAGGTCACAATTTTGATGCGCACAATGTCTTACACTCTATGGTAGAACTATTTAACTAGGACCGAAACCGCGCACCCTCGATCCCTGTGATGGCTGATCAAAATGGTCACCCTCCCACTTACTGATCGCAGCCAGTGATGCTTGACTTCAGTGTTCCACTGGAAACTGTGTTTTCATGATCAGTCCACTGCAGTTAAATACAATTTTACATTAAAGAGTTGCAATCATTTCCCGTTTTACTGATTAAACTCTTTGGATAATGTTTTCCAGATTAGCAATATCTCTGATTTTCAAAGGTAAAAGATGATATCCGTTAAAAATAAGATAAATTTCCGATCAATAAATAAAAATTCATACGATGAGTTTCCCCTTTGTACACTGTATAAACTTATTTTCATTAAACAATCGTTGTACTTTTAAAACAATAGTTTTAATCGGTGAAACAATTAAATATTTATGTTTACTTTAATTATGTCTCATTAATTTCATGTATGATTGTTTGATATCATAATTATACATGATTAGTTCAGAGACGTAAATCTACTGAGCACTTGAAACTAAATTCGTATTCTGATCAGCTGTTGATATATATGATGAAAATCCTAGACAGAGAATTTGCTTGTATAAACATTATATTCTATTTCCCTGATGTTTAGTTACATGCATATGAAAGCATTCTATATTTATCAAAGTTAAACAGACTTTGCAATATTAAACACACATTTGTAAAGGAGGCATGGGATTATACAAGCGAAATTATTAAACAAGAAATAATATCTTCTCTATTAAATTAAAAATATAAGATAGAGCGCTACTATAATACAGCTATATTGCGTTATTTACATGCATTTCTTGAATTTGTTTAAAATTCCTTTTTATAATTTAAAAGTATTTTTGATGCATTCGTCATATATTTTGCAAGAATTAAAACTAGTTTTTGCTTGGTCAATAAAATAAAAACTTACAGTATTACTGTAAATACAACAAAAACTAACAGTATTATTGTACTGTAAGTTTAAAACATACTGTATTAAACTTATGGTACAATGTTGTGGTCCTGTTAGATTTAATACAGTGCTTGTTTAATCGTCAGTTACGGATTGTACTCGTGTGCAAATAATTTTACATTCTGAATGCATTGAAACCTTTTTTACGAACAATATTTCTGTTGTGAGTTAAGTTCTAACCACAGAGGCTTTACACACTAATAATTATAAAGCAAAAAAAAGTTCCTTTAAAGCATAAGAAAACTAAAACGTTTCTTGCACTGCCGTATACAGAGCCTCTCAACGGCAGTAAGCTTAACTATTAGTCGGAAAATGAATTTATCACTTATTTTATTTTTTAAATTAAATTTATTAAACTTGCAGTAATCGCTTATTTATTTGTATTTAGAAAAAATATTTGATAATGCGTTGTTCTGATGTCACCGTGAAAATTTTTTAAATAACATCATTATCATTATGATGCACACGCGTGGAGAAAAAAGTCTGATAAAATTTCCGTATTGTAGAAGAATGACATTTTTAGCAAGAAAAAAAATTCTGGTTAATAAAATCAAAATCGGAAAATTCACTTGGTGATTTTTCCGTTTATACCGAAAGTTCTGGTTTTCAGTATTACAATTCTTATCACCACATATTTAGCAAAAAATACAAAACTAAAAAGCAAATTTTACCAATTAAATGGTTTTTATACTATTCTCTAAAGTTAGCATGATAAAATTAGCAAATGTTACTACAGTTTTCGAATTTTATCACATATTATAAAACCATATTTCATTTTTAATTTTGCCAAAATCATTAGCAAAGCACTTTGGTAAAAATTACACAGCTTTTTTGGTTTTTCCATAGAGCCCGAAGCACGATATATTTTACAATATTCTGTTGGTTTTAACCATACATTTTTCTCAATACGATAATTTCGAAAAGTAAAATATTTCTTAAATTTTTGCTTTAGATACTTTTATTTATTAAAAGATGGATTATTACAGCTTCTCCTCCATGGAATATGGTGATTGGGAGTAAAGCTTCTGAGCTACGTCTAAGTCCCATAACTGAGCTGGACATTGACTTTAACTATTTTTCGGCCACGGTAAATAATGGCGAAGATACCGAACTTCCAACAAAAAGAAAAGTCATTTTTAAAATTCGTGTAATGCCAATAGGTAATATCTATTTCCTTATTGATAGCTATAGTTTTTTCAACAAAAAATTTCATCAATATACACCAAATACAAATCAACAACACAATTCGTATTAAAATGGAATAAGTCAATTAAATTTTTCTAAAATATTACTGAATTAGTGCTCAAATACTATTCATGGTACAAAAACATAAATGATATTGTAATGGAATAAATGATTAATTGAATTATTCTATAGTGTTGAATCGCTGTTAAAATCCGACTCTTAGTATAACAACATAATTGGTATCGTAATGATATAAGTAACCTATAGAATTGCCTTTGAGTAATATAGCTTCAAATAATCCAAAACAGTTTCAGGAATGTTTTTCCAACTTGTAATAGTATTTGCCAAATTTTATTCTTCCCAAGAACACTGTGGGTGCTGCTAAGACTTTGCAGTATATTCACAAATGCTTTGGTGTTGAATTTATAACACTACCCTTTACGTAGGAGTATACACTGAAGAGCCGTTACATTATGACCACCCTGCTAATAACATGTAGGACCACCTTTAGCCCTCAAAACTTCTAGCACCCGCCGTGGCATTGATTCCACAAGGTGATGATAGGTAGTCTGAGGTATCTGGTACCAAGCGCTCACCAACTGGTCCTGCAATTCCCTCACATTGCGAGGGGGTAGCGTGGCAGCACGAATTTGGTTTTCCAAGTAGGACCACAAATGCTCTATTGGATTAAGGTCAGGTGAATTTGGGGGCCAAGACATGACTTGAAAGTCACTGGAATGTTCCTCGAACCAATCCATGACGATTCGACCCTTATGACATGGTGCATTATCCTGTTGGTAAACACCATCCCCCGCAGGAAAAACTGTTGCCATGAATGGGTGAACCTGGTCTGCAACTATGTTCAAGTAGCTTACAGACGTCAGGGATTGTTCTATGAGGATTATGGGTCCTAATGTGCCCCATGAAAACATTGTTCCTGGGCGAGAAACCATGAAAACCTGGGCGAGCCCATTGTTATAGATGGAGGGTAGTCATAATATAATGGCTCTTTGGTGAATGCTAAAATTCTTAATATCCTTTTAACATTTTGATAAAAACATAAAAAACTGAAATTTGAGTTAAAATAATTAAAACTTCACAAAATCGAATGGATTTCAATTAGCATAGCTGTGGTAGCAACCCACTTCAAATTTTATTTTTCAAAGAAACTAAAAACAATCTAATAAAATTATTAAAAGAAAACAAATAAAATATTTAAAAATAATTGCATTTTTTTTACTGTACACTTTTTTATTACTATCGTCATTTCTTTTATTTCGGTAAACACAGTTTTTATAGATTTCTATTTATGTTCGCCTTTGCGATTATTTATACACTTGTCGCAATGACATAAAAAGAAATCAACAGACTGCACACGCGAGAGCTTTTCGTAGAAGTTGTCCAAATATATCAAAAACTTTTCAGATATAAGCAGAGATTCAGAATGATTAGCTAGCCTTGTTTTAAGAAAAATTATTTTCTGCTTTCCTTTAGAAAGAGAATCGAAAAATATATCACTGTAGCTTTCAATTTAATCTCCTAAGTTAAATCAAAAGTTATGCAGCTGGGAGAAAAATACACCTTTTGAAATTTGATAAAACTTTAGAATTGAATGCTGTGATCATTAAATTATTATTATTATTATTATCCTAATCATTATTATTATAATTATTGTAATTATTATAATCATTATTGTTATTATCCTAATCATTATTATTATTATCATTATAATTATTGTAATTATTATAATCATTATTGTTATTATCCTAATCATTATTATTATTATCATTATTGTTATTATGCTAATCATTATTATTATCATTATAATAATAATTAGCATAGTGAAGACACTATTGTATATCATAAGTTTTACACAATATTGCGTAATTATTTTCTCATATGCGGTGGTTAAAGCAGATAAGAGGTTAAGCTCTCAGTGGTTAAAATGGATAAGCGACTCAATCAAAAAATGAAAAGTGTTAGGTAACTTCAGTTATTCTTGCATATCACCGGAACCAGGTGTACTAAAAATCACCAAGAAAGTTAATGTTTAATTTGATGAAACTGAAAAAGAGATGAAAATGCACGATTTACTACGTTCTATGTAAGAAAACAAGCATTTCTACAACTTTCAAAATTAGTTACAAACTCCGTCATCAGATAGTGCTACTAACTGAAAGAAACTATAAAACAGTGTTTTTAAAATAACAACCATTTTCAGCAACCTGTTCTCTAATAACAAAACTAACAGGCGTTGGAACAAATATTTGAGTAAGAATGGTCAGGCATGAAGCAGATAATATAGTTCTAGATTTTAATAGTCAGCAACATCATTTATTGACAAACTTTGTGACTAATCTAGAAACTTGGTGAGAATAATTTGTCCGGTTTTCTTAGTAGGACAAAGCAAGCCCTACCTTCTCTTTCTTTACTTCCACAGTAGCATAATAATTCGTACCCTTATAAGACCAATATTCACCAATATTGGTCGAATAAGCGTTTAAGGGGCCATTATTCAATCAATGTAATCCTCTCATTTTACAGAAAATATAAGCTTTATTTCAAAATATTCAATTTCGCCTATAGTTTTAGCCACTTTTCATCCAATATAGGCCTTATATAGAATTGTCAAGTTTATTCGATATATTATAGCCATTATTTAGCCAAATATAAGTCCTAAAAAGAAATACTATTCTATTAAGTTTATATTTTTCGCCATTATTTTAGCTAAGATAGAGCTCATATATAAGCACCATAGTCACCCATTAATTTTCAACCACTGTTCTACCGAGGTAAAGCCTATATATAATCGTTCAATATTTCTCCATAATTTTATATATTTTATGTTTCAAATATTTAGTGTTTCATATTATCGATCATTTTCACAACACCCTGTATGTTGGTTCGGTTTTGCTAATTTATTCATCATAATATCGACTTAACATAAGATGAAGTGAAAAAGAAAATATATTTTGCAAATAAAAATGCCATTAAACAGAAATACAAAACACATAAATGCAGTAAATATTCATAAAGCTTACAGAATTGAAATCCATTAACAATCTTCACATTCAAAACATAATAAATAAAATTTCTTTTCAAGATCTATTCATAAAAAAATATCATAACTAACTTTTTCTAACAGTTCTACAAAACATACGATTTTTATTTTATTTTATCTTTTGATTGCAGTAGAACGGAAGTGAAGAAAAAACTCCAGAACCTTTTATTTTCCGTCTAGAAGGAAATATAATGCTCTTTTCAGACAAAGTCTTTTTGCTTTTTTGGAAACCTTTTCATTCGCAAAAAATCTTTAACAATGATAAGTTGTGAAAACTTTCTAAGATACTTAGGTTTAAGGATATTTGTCGTAACATTTTTACTTTTTTATTATAATTTTATTGCTTTCGTTTGTTAACGACCATTAATTTAACATTTCGATAACAAATAATGGGCTAACTATTTACTACGTGTTTTTACGTTTTTAATGCAAACCGCGTTAAATTAACAAAGTTTTTTCATTGTGACTCTGGAACAAAAATATTTATCAATAGCACTCTGTAAATGAAACAAGATTTGTTTCCTAATTTATAATAAATTGGATATTTATAATTCGATTTAGTTTATCGTTTACTGTTGACTAATTTTTCGCTTCTTTCCAAAAAATAAATTTTGTATTAGGAACAGCAGAATTACACAGAGATGAGTCATAAATGTAATAACTATGAAACATATATATAAAAAAGATGAATTATAAATTTACTGCGAAGCACTGATAAGCAACGTTTTTTTGTGTTTTTAGTTACAATGAAAAAATAATTTAAGAAAAGTTGTTGATAAATTTTTTTTGTTATCAGTTTTGTCCAACTAAAGTTACAAAATAAAACTGTAACGATACGAAAATTAACGGTTGGCTGCTTTAGTCTTAGAAAACAAGTTAATTAAGACAAGCTACTAATTATATTTCTTTAATCAAATTTCAAAATTTGCAACAGATGACTCCATTGTCAGAAAAAATAGCAAAACAATATTTATTGCTGCATGTAGGGCCATTCCCGACTGAAATATTTTCACAAGCGTTTGTTGCTATTGTCAAAAGGCAGCTTAACATCGTTGCTGCAGAGTTTGACTTTTTTATAACATTGTTTTATGGCTTTTTTAGTTACCAGCGCCATTTTTTGACGAACGTTGCAGCTTATATTAAATGGGTATGAAGAAATCATTTAGTTTGTTAGGCACAACACAGCAAAACGTGCAATCTATGTATCTCCTATATCTATCTAGCAATCTACTTCCTTTCCTTTTTCTTTTGTTTTTTAATATCATCTGACATGTTTGGGACACTCGGTAAGTAATTCTTCTTGAAATCATATTAGTTTGATTTTAACAATGTGTCCCCAAATTTAAACATTTCTTAAGTATTAGAATGTAGTGCAAATAAATGCTCTCTGGTTTTCGATGCAGAATGCAACAAAAACATTTTTCCACCCATTTTCTTGAATTTATTCGTCACTTTACGACAAGCGGAATATTTCCGAATTAATTGTTTTCTGGTATGTCTTTTTTTTAAATAAGTGTTATCTAAATTTAATATCTACGAAATATAATCTGATATAATCTTTTTTTTTATTTTCAGTTACGTATAGCAGTCTATTATATTAAGAATTCATATTTAAAATTGTTGTAAACATTTAGAAATAGACGTAAAGTTCACGAAAAATAAATAAAGGGAACACCCTACATAACTTCTGATCTAATGATCAGTTCGTCGCATTCTAATACTCAATCTTAATGCTTTGAAAGGGTGACTTCAAATATGCTAATTACTTAGTACATACGATATATTAGGTTACGAATTCAGAAATACGGAAAAACATACTTTTTTTGAATAAACATACCTTTTTTTCGATATTCGATAGATTTTGATTTCTGTGGAGATTCGGATAGATTCAGATTTCTGTAAGGGGTAGCCGCAATCTGGGAACGATGATCCCCGTAGTTTAGTCATGAAAGTGGTCCAAAGTTTTGACCACTTAATGTTAATTTTACTCTTTGCGTATTTCGCCATATCTTTTAAACTTTTTAAGCGAATTGAAACATTTTAGAAAAAAAAAATATCAAATTCGTTCATCTAAAAATAATTTCATATAAAATATAAATGTTAATTAATATTTATCATATTTTTTTATAATTTAATTTAATAATAGTCGAAAAAATTTTGAATCAGGAGATATACAATTTTTATATCATTTTGAAGAATTTAATTGTACATGTTTAAAAAAAAATTGAGCAAAACTGGTTGAATAGTTCCTGAGATATTATGTTTAAACTTTTATTTCTCAGGAACTTTTCGACCGATTATGCACGCATTTTGCCCCTTAAAATTGCATTCTTTGAAACGGCATGAAAAATTTGAAATCTTACAATTGATATTTTCTTCAACCATTATTAAATAAAGTAATAAAACATAATAAGTATTCACTGAAAATTATATTTGGCGTGGAAATATCTTTCGACAAAAAAAATTTTATAATTGTATGGAAAAAAAATTCACTTCACTTAAAAAATTTTTGAGACTTGGTGAAATACGCAAAAAGTAAAATTAACATTAAGAAGTCCAAACATTGGACCGTTCTTCTGACCAAACTATTGAGACCATATTTCCCAGATTGCTGATATTTCGGGGGTCAGAAATCTGAATCCGTTGGGAAAAAAAGTTACGTTTATTCAGAGAAAGTATCTTTTTGGGTCCAATTTCGTTACTTAAAATATCATCTGCTCTAATTGATTAGCATTTTTGCAAGTTACAATCTCGAACAGTTTAGATTGAGTTCTAAAACGTGAAGATCTGATTGCCAGATCAAAAGTTATTCAGGGTTTTTATTTTGCACACTGTTCACACATAGCAAATCATTTTTACCATTTAGAATAGTGTCAACAAACAGTAGCTGCTTTAAATTATGCAAGAGTTATTGTTGATGCAAGTTTTACTATTTTAAATCATCCTCTTTGGGAAATTTTTTAACATTCAGTCTTTACATTTCTATTATAGACCAAGGAACTTTATATCCTGGAGCCTTCTTGATGTTGAATATGCTTTCTTCTGTTAGCTTGCCTGAAAGTTCGATGACTTTTAAATGGTACATGGAAGACGATAATGAAATGAAGTCTCTTCCAAGTAACATGCGAGTCAGTTCTACCGGTGGTTTACTGACCATATCAGAGCTTCGTAAGGAACAGCAAGGAATTATGTCATGTGCCGTATATACCAATTTGAATGTGTTCGCCACCAAAAAGAGATTTTTAATCAAGTCCGTCAGTCAAGGTAAATAAATATAAATTACGATAAACTAGAACAGAGACTTAACTACCGGAAAAGCAACACCAGGTTTTGAAAAATAAGTTGTTCCATCCCTTATAAAGAAATAAGGTGTTTTTGAGGTTGTTTTAAAGTTGACAGATGTTAGAAAATACATCTGAGATTGAAAATGAGGTTATATTTTGTACCAAAAATTACCTCATTAATAAACCTCAATTTTAATCTCATTTAGACCTCATAAAATCATCCTTATACTCAGCAATACTCTTAGTTGATATTGGGTGAAATTATTCACACTTCAAATGTACTTATTCTCTGGAAGTTCAGAAAAAATAGCCTGTACACCATAAAAATAACCTCTGTAAGCTGGTTGCTCTAAGTAGATTTCCAAAAACCTCAAAACAACCTCAGGTACGGATAAAAGAACTTCATACACCTTGATTGTACACCTTGAGTGGTTGATCTTTTAAGCTTGTTTTTATCAACTTCGAATAAACCTTGAAACCTCAAAAAAATCTCAAATAAACCTTAAAAATACCTAAAATTTTTGTAAGGGATACCATATGACACCATAATATGGTAAACCCTGGTAATTTTCTGAAATAAACTAAATACAATTGTTTTCTATTGTACATTCTGTGGATTTTTCTAAAAAGTTGAATATAATAATGTTTCACTGTCTGACGAAGTAGTTCTGATGATATTTGATACTTTTGGGTACTCAAACGATTTCCTAATACAAACGATTTAAAAAAAATGTTATCGATATTTTTTACATCAGATGGCCAAAGATATATTTTTTCATAAAAAACTGGCAAAATCGTTTCCAAGCTAAACTGCACGCAGTAAAAAATAAAGCATGACCATAACTATTAAAACTAAACTCAGTGGCGCTACAGCCTATAGAATTCCAAGGCCTTCTGTGCCCATTTCAATTTCCTTGACCTATGGCTCTGGGGTGCTGGAGCAGATGTTCCGGTAGGTAGGACAACCGTAAGCAATACCCCCAGTGTGTTTAGTCCCCAAGTATGCTTGGTACTCATTTTATCGACGCACTGAAGGGATGAAAGGCTGAGTCAACTTTTCCCGGCTCGAGGATCGAACTCAGGACCTGTGACGCAAAAGCGCTACGCTTAGCCACTGGGAGTCGCTAACCTGGTGCTTTATATTAATATTTATAAAAAAGTTGACGAAACTAGTCAGATACCTTGAAAATAATAAGTACATATAATGACAGTTTCAAGATATCACTTTTTGCACAGATTTCAAGAGTGAATACTTAAATACAGCATCCATTTGTAGGTCCTCTTAATGTTGGTAATGCATGAGTAAAAAAAAAGAAATCGCTCTGACTAACTTATTATCTAATGAGCAAATTTTCATTTTAGAAGTATTCATCCTAACGCCTCAGATGAGCTAATAAATTAAATAAGCTAATTTCTAATTAAGTTACGGAACCAAACACAGAAAAGTATTTCCCTAGAATGAACATACCAGTTTTTTTTCAATATGGGTTTTTAACTCTCGGTATATGGGGAGTAGTCGAAATTTGGGAAATATAGTTCATTCAGTATAGTCAGAACAGCAATCAGAAGTTTGGGTAACTTAATGTTGATTTCATTTTTTTCCGCATTTCGCCATTTTTCCGGAACTACTGAAGTTAATCAATAGCATTTCTTACGTAGCTATGAAAAATTTTTATTCAAAATTATTATTATTATTATTTATTTTGTTATATTTTTGTTACTTTTAATTTCATCGAATAGTTAAAAAATTTTAATTGTAATATATACAAACTTTTGCTTCAATTCAAACTGTACAAATTTAAAGGACAATATAGAAAATTTCAACGTAATAGTTTGAATAGTTCTTGAGAAATATAAGTTTGAAAATACAACTTTTCTTTTCCTTTTTTTTAAAAAAAAGAAAAACTTTATTATTCAGAATCTATTTTACCGATTTTGAATACATATTTTGTATTTTGCCTTTTAAAAATACCTACGATAAAAAGAAGAAAAAACCTGATTATCTCGCAATTCATAATTTTCGATTCTTACTAAATAAAAATAATAAAATATATTAAGTTCTTCATAAAAATTAGTCTTTACCTTTAGTAACGTTTAGTCGAATATATTTCGTATTTGCGCATGATTTTTTTTTTTTAAGTTTCCGAGGGGTGGCGAAATACACTAAAAATGAGACTAACTTAAACAGAGTTCCAAAATTTCAACCTCGCTCCCAACCTGGTGGAAACATATTTTCTAAATTGCGACTACTTCCAATATTTTTATACCTTTTTTTGCCTGATTAACACTAAATAATTAGCATATTGGAGGTTACTTTTTCAAAACATCCAGATAAACACTTATTTTGCGAAACTTTGTTCATTAAGATAAAAGTTATGCAGACCTTTTTCTCACTGTGTAAGACGTGTTGTTCAGTAAATCACTTTATATACATATGTTTCCCGACATTAATTTGATTCTTGAGAAAATGTTAAAAATAATTCGCTAAAAGTTCCTTTTTAATAATTTTCCAAAATATTCTAACGCTGATTTGCACTGAGAAAAGAAATATGGTCGAAAATAGCAGAATATGGTAAAATTTACCATGTTTCTGTCTCTATGGGATCACTAAAAAGCTCGGTAATTTTTACCAAAGCTCTTTGGTAATAATTTTAATAAAATTAACAATTTAATGTAATATTATAATATGTGATCAAGTTCGGTAAATGTGGTAAAATTTGCTCATTTTATCCTGATAAGTTAGAGCATGTCATAAAAACCATTTAACCATTAAAATTTATTTCTCAGTTTTATATTTCTTACTAATGTGTGACGACAAGAATTATAATTTTGAAAAGCAGAATTTATGGTTAAAGTGTTACCATATGAAGGGAAAAACTACCAAATGAATTGTTTAATTACTGCATTTTTTTTACCAGAACTATGCTTTTTTTTAAAATCCAAAAATGACTTTACTATTCTGTACGGTAATTTTACCAGGATTCCGTTCTCTGTGTGCTTTTTATTAAAAATTATGCTTTTATCTTCAAATTTCTAAATAAGTTTCTACTGTTGTATCATGGACTGACTCATTGTAAATTATTTTGAAGCATCTATAAGCGACTTGTTGTTGGTGAAGCATAAAATATTCCAAAAAAACACTTTCAGAAACCCATTACATTGCAGATATTTCTTTTTTTTTTTTTTTGCATAAGATGCAGCTTATTTTAATTTAATGAAATTCGTTTGCTTTTCATATTCCTTTATTCAAAACTTGTTGTTGTAAATAGTTTTATGATTAAAAATTAAATAATATTTACATAATTTATTACTCTTTTGTGTCACTTTCGCATGATGCATATTTATTTATTTAGATGTCATTTTATAGCATAGTTTAGTTCATTCTTTACTTTGTAAGACGTTATAGCATTTTATAAAAATTTTGATATTGTGTGTGAAAATGATAGTAGGTTTGCACTTTCTCACTTCAAAAAAGACGTGAACATCTTACCAACGAATGCTATCAATCACTGTCAACGTTCTGCACGAACTCCAGAAAAAAGCAATCATACTAGTATTTTAGAGGGATATTTTAAATCAGATTCCGAAGCATTTTGTGGCAGAATTTTAAGATAGTTTCTGATATTAGCCAAGCACAAAAAATAATGAAGTGATAAGTGTTAAAATGTATGAGATTTTGAGATAAAATATTAAAAAGAGATATAGTTTTTACACTGAAATATTGTCTGTATAAAATTAATTTCTCTCAAGTATAAAAATAAAAAAATAAGTTGTATCTTTCAATTATTTGAATAAATTTAATACATTTCAATGTGTAATATGTTACAATGTATCTACAAATAAAGACACGCTTCTAGTAGATATATCATCATGAATCTTAGTATTAAAATTACCAAGCGGGATATTGTTCAAAATTTACGTATACAGTAAAGTTTAACAAAAATAATTAATGGATTGTTTAGACCACGCAACACTGGAATGATCATATTTTAATGCTACAAGCCTAATAATATTTCGAAAAAAATTAAAGGATTGTTTAAGCCACGCAACACAGCAATGATCACCATACTGTTTCAATGCTTTGACTGTTACAAACTTAATATTTCGAAAATAATTACTGGATTATTTAGGTCACGATACATTGCAATGACCACTATACTATTTTAACGTCGTGACTGCGATAAGCTTAATAATATTCAAAAATTCTCCTCGTTCTAATTTTTAACTAAAATAAATTGCATTTTACAATTTTTTAATCTGTTACTTTTTCTCGTGAATGATTTTTTCTTTTTATCTACCCAATAAGATTTTAAAAAATTATTAATTTTCATGATTTTTTTGCTTTCATTATTGTATAATACGAGAGAAAACTCACAAGAGAAGACCCCTACTTTTTACAAATGAAAAAAATCCGTTTATTTTCTATAATATAATACAATTTTAAAGTTTGAACATACGTCTAATTTTCTATATAATCATAAAAGTTGTAACAATTCAGATATACTTATATCATTCCAGCTCCCCGCAATGTCTTTGGATTGAATTTCATGTTTCACCTCGTCATTGGAACTGAATCGCCTCCCAAACAAATATTCTTTTAAATTAAGGTAAAGAGCGTAACCACTAGGTGCTAAGCCTGGAGTAAGGAAAATAGTATGGTGACGATATTTTGAAACAATTGTGATAGGTTAACGAGTGGAAAACGGGACGATAAAGTTTAATGGTTTCTTATGTTTATGACGGGAGCTGATATGACTTTTCCATACCAAAACTGTCACAGCGTCTACAAAAATGCATCGAATTCAATGTAATTGCACATTTACCAAACATTGTTCAACTATATCACTTAAAACAAATAGAATTCCGCATTTACCAAGCATTGTTCAACTATATCACTTAAGACAAATAGAATTCCACATTTACCAAACATTGTTCAACTATATCACTTAAGACAAATAGAATTCCGCATTTACCAAACATTGTTCAACTATATCACTTAAGACAAATAGAATTCCACATTTACCAAACATTGTTCAACTATATCACTTAAGACAAATAGAATTTAGTATCGGGGGAAATCGTTCTTGCTCTGAAAATGCTCTATTTACTTCAAATTTGGATGCCCTAGATTTTAATTTCTTTTAAATACGAATTTTTTTCCATTTTCTTTGAAAAATTTATCAAAAATCTTAAATTCATTTTTGCTTTACAGAAAATTAAAGAAAATTGAGAAATCAAGGAATATTGTGGTATACAGAGTATTTTTAATTTAGGAAACATTGAAAAAATGGCTTAAACATATTTAAAAGCAAAAAAATGATTAAATTAAGTTTTAGATGTTGCAAAACACAGCAAGATAATTGAGATACTAAATGCTGAACGAATATTTTGTAAAAGCTGTTAAAATTTTAAAGAGAACATTCTGAGTAACAAAATAAACTGTAACTGATGTTATTGAAAACTTACAATCCCATTACTTTCAAAACTTGTTAAAATGATAATGATTGTAATTAAAAATTCATAGCTGTAATGTATAAATCTAAAAGTGTTGTTCCTTTTTTTAGAAAACAATAGATTGATGTTCTTGCCAACTCGTTCTTCGAAATATCACAGAGAAATTTCACAAAGACTCTATCGCAACAAGAGACAATTCGAGTCAAACTTTTTTGAAGATGAGACTCGAAAAAGTGACGAAAGTGCATTTCTGGATCATGTTAATCCTAATAAAGAGGATTATATTGATTTAAATAAAACACCAAGCTCCAAGTCAGAATCTTTAGAAAATAGAAAATACGATGAAAATACAGTTAAGGAACCATTTCTTCCTGATAAAGATGAGTCCAAGTCCGATTCTGACGAAAGCAAAAAATATGACGAAAATGTAGTTAAAGAACCATTTATTTCCGATAAAACTGAATACACCGGTCCAATTAAAAAACCAAGTTCCAAATCCGAATCTGTAGAAAGTAGAAAATACGATGACAACGCAGATTTTATTCCTAAAAAAGATGAATACACGGATCCAAATAAAAAGTCAAACCCAACATTCGAATTCGTCAAGAAGTCAAAATATGACGATGACGGATTTCGAATTTATTTACCCAGTGATAAAAACAATTACATGCCTTCGTATAGGAAATCAAGTCCTAAACTCGACTCGTCAGATGACGTAAGTGTTGATGTAACGGAAGGCCCCCAATTCTCAACTTTATCAGACGAAAAATACGAAGAAATGAAAACTCGCCTCACCACCAGCGACAAAATAGCCATGCTGATATCCAAATGTGATGCAGACTTTGAATGTTCGACGTACGCTTCCTGCATAAAAATGACAAAAACTGAACCGGGATTCTGTCGATGTTTGCCACGTTTTGAAGGTAATGGAATATTTTGCTGGGAAGTTCACAAATCTGTGACCTAAACAAAATGCCAGAAATGGATACCAGCTGTTCTGTTGCGGATAAAAAGTAAAGATGATTCATAGCACGCAGTATCTCAAATATCTCCATATTTCATGTGGTGTCACGAAAAAGGCATATCCGATTTAAAAAAAAACAAATTCAAACAAACAATAAGAATCGATATGTATCAGAAACAGCTGTGTCATTGATTCTTCATAACAGGACTGACTCTGCTCTTCAAAATCGATTTTGTAAGAGAAGTTTGAAGCACTTTATTTAATGTTATTGGTTTCGATTGATTTTTTGTACAATTTTTTTGTCATCTATAAAGAACTAGTCTATTTTTTTTAATTTTGTGAAAAAGAAACTCTTAAAGGAAATTACTTAACTTCTTGTCATTGGTATTTGCTATTTAGTTTATAGCGTAGAACTCTCAATTAACAAGTTATATTTATAAGTAAAATTTATTTAATCGAAATAAAATTAACTCTTTTCTATTTAACATTCAAGTAATTTGTGAGAAACGATGCAGGCTGGATACCTCTGAAGTATCAAACTGAGAAATCGGTACAGGGCATCATTTTACTAATAAATATAAAAGGATATATATGGTAATCACGACATCATCTAAAGAGCCGTGGGTGCTCAGTAAGCAGAGTGTTCGAATCCCAGCGTTAGCTGGTCGACACAAATTCCGCACTCAGCTCCCACCGACCTGAGTGCTGACGTAAAATAGCCTCAGTATTAAGCAGATCAAGGGTTAGAGTACCCTTGCCGTCATGCTAACCGTGGGAACTTATTGTGGTTTTCCTCTCCACGTAATGCAAATTCGGGTTATTTTTATCAAAAAGTCCACCACGAAGGCAAATTTCGCCTAATACCTGATCCAGGAGTTCCCTTGTTTTCTGAATTAGGCTTAAAATTATAAGGTTACGAAGTAGAACATTAGTAGTCGTAAATCCAAAATTGGGTTAACTGTTCAACGACGGTTAGAAAACGTCATCTAATGAACAATGATTCGTTTTTCTTAAAATAAATAGCCTACACGATGAAACAAATTCTTGTAAAATTAGTGTTCTGTATTGTAATGACATTTCTGACAAAAAAAAAACATAATTCTGGTTAATAAAACCCTAAATATAAGGTTTTTTTATCCAACCATTTAGTAATTTTTCCGTTCGTATATCAACAGTGTACTGGAAATTTCGGTCTTCAAAATTGTAGATGTAAGTGAAAAGATAATTTAACCTAACAAATGGTTGTTATGTCATGCTCTAAAGTAACATGAAAAGATTACCAAATTATGTCACATATTATAAAGCCATATTTCATTCTTAATTTTACCTAAATTATAATCAAAACTCTACAGTAAAGATTGTCAAACTTTTTTTGTCCCCATAGATCCAAAACCGCTGAACAGTTTAACCATATTCTGGTAGTTATGACCATGTCTTCCTCTCGGTTTATGAATTATTGCTATAAATAGTGATTTCAGCTTAAAATCAAAGCCTTTCGTTAAGTATTTTTTAACGATGCTAGTTTTTAAATACTATTTTGTGGTTTTTATTATATTTGTTTGCCAATTATTATAAAACTGATACATATCTTATCGCACGAGATCTCTTAACCAATTAATTTAAATTTTAAAAAAATAACTTTTTTTTATTTTTATGTTTTTTACAGAGCTACATTTAAATGAGTGAATATTATTTTAAAATTCAAATAGTAATTTTTGTTCCTATACTAAATTTAACTTTTCATATCATTATATTTTTCTTTCATTTTGTATTATACTTTCTATTAAATTTCATAAGTCCATATAAATATCTATTCACATTTAATACAGAGTTAAATTAGTTCACTAATTAAAGTAACATTCATTAAAGTAATACTTATTAAAGTAACATACATTAAAGTGACTTGAGACAGTATAAGAGTGGCTAGTCTAAAACTTTATTACTTAACTTTACAATGACGATTTCTGCTACGTTTTGCTAAAAAGTACTTTTTAGAATGTATTAAATCTGGTTTTCATATAGTGCATGCATATTTTCAATTGCAATGAAAATATTTTGGTTTGTTGAAGAATAGCTCAGGTATATTTGATAAAATAGCTCAGGATGAAAAGTTTGTTGAAGAAATTTAGCTGAAGATGATGTTGTCGATTGATATATTTCCAGCTGTCCATATTTTATTTAGAGTGATACCGGAAAGCAATTGCATATTGAACATCACAAATTGCTTGAATGAAAAATCCAATATAAATATTAAAAATGTTTTATTCTCGATATATATGGAGCTACACAGTAAGGATTAATCTTAATTCTTAAATATACATTACTAAATGATAAATTTGGAAAATTGCCTGGAGGATGTAGCTGCAGGGCTATAAGCCCCACAGGACACCCCTGTCCACCAAGAAATCGAAAAAGCGAGTGTCATATGTACGTTAGCATAATTTTCGCCAAGAAAAGTTAAGGAATCCATGTATTGGTTATTTATTGATTAAATTTAACGCCAAGGCTCTTTTTCTGAGTCTTGTGCATTCAAATGTGTTGGCGGGAAAGAAAGCATGAGAAATAATAACGAATTTTAATGAATTCAAACATTAGCAACCATATAACGGTTTTCGAATTCTATGTTAAGTTATGAATTCTATGTTAACGGTGTTAGACAGATGCAAAGAGAATCTCTAAAAATAGATTTTATTCTGCATTCAATTCAAGGTTGTGGTATACAAATATCACATATTATATTAATGATTTTTATTAGCTGATAAAATGATTGAATAAGATAATAATTCAGTTTTTAAAGGTTAGGAAATATGTTATGAAAATTTCAGCAAGGCGCCAATGTATATTATAATTTTATAATGTTTATTTCTGCCAAGTTTCATTGGATAAGTGCTTTAGAAGGTATGAAATCTGATACTTAATGGAACTCACATCAGAGATTAGACTTAATTAATCACATAAATAATGTAAACATATGTGCAAAAAGTTTTAACTAATAACCACATGTGGGAGGTTTCATAAATATTGAATATATATTTTTGAAATCCTCGTCAAACATGAAATCTTAAAACCCCCCACATATAAGAAAAATTCCTTTTTAAATTCATGCGGAGAATAAATAGGTTTTTCTGAATTATAATGCGAGTTGTTTGATTTGAATATTTTTAGCAATGTACTATCTTAATAAAATGAATAAGATCATATGAATATTTAAGCAATATGAATTGATTGTATTTATTAATATCTATTGGTTTAGAATCATGCAAGAAAATTGAGAATTCACGAATAAATTATTACATTTTTATCAATATAAATTATGTAGTTGCACAAAGAGTAATTTAAAAATTTGATTTTTTGAAAATATTTGACAGTTTTGTTAAAAAGTAGTAATGTACAAGAGTATCTCAAAAGTTTTTAGAAAACTACCTTAATCGTAATTAATAAAAATAGTATAATAAAAATTAAAATAAGATATTAAAACTAAACCTGCTTTAGAAAAGTGTCAGGATAATATTATGAGAAAAAATTAAAAAATATGATTTTTGGTCCAAAATTATGAAGTAAGATCTTCAAATATGTGATTTCAAATTTATTAATATTAAAGAATTTAGGTTTAGACTTAAAAGGAACATAAGGAAACAAATTCAAAATTTCATCGAAAATCATTTACAATCTTACAAATGATAAAAAAAAATCTCCACTGAATAACGTAATTGAAAAAAGTATCGTAGTAAGTTTCAAAAGTTATCAAAAGAAAAAAAAATCTATGCTTGAAAAAAGTCAAAACATGATATAACATTCATTATAATAATCTTAAAAAAAACAACACCAAAAAGAAAAACGAATTACACTTGCAATTACCGAATAAAAACACCCCTTAATTCTCAATAACCTCCTTTTCAATCATTTTTCGGAATTGAAGCAGGGTCATCAATACAAAAATGTCTCAAAGAAAAGAAAATTAAAAACCAAAAGAGGTTCTAACCAAATGGCGATGTACCCAAACAGAAGACGAAAAGCAAAAATAAGAAAAGGGGAGATAAAATAAAGAGTACGTAGGGAGAGTATTGCGGGGAAAGCTGATTACAGGCTCTCTCCAAAGAGTGCTTTTCCTTCACTGTTAATACGTCATTTTTATCGGCCAAGAGAGAGGAGCAACTCCGTTAACTTAACGTTGTCTTTTATTCAGAAAGAAGTGGAATTATATTTCCCTCGCCAAAAGCTTAAACATTCGGTTCATAACAATGGAGATATTTTCTCAAACTAGAACAATTTTATCTTAAAAGAAGTCCTGACGTTATCAGTCTCTTTGTTCTTCGGATGTGATGGAATACGAATTTATATATTGTTAAAGAACGAAAACACTGCATTTGGCGGTTTTCAGTTTATGCATTTGATTATAATTTTAGCTAAACTAATAATTTCGAACTTTTTGAGTCTCCTCTAAGACAAGCCTTGATCGAAATGCGGTAGGGGAGAGTCGGGTAGCCCCGCCCACTTAAGGAGTATTGCTTATATTTCTGTATAATATTGAGTAATAATCAATATTTTTGTATGTTTCTATTGTTTTACCATCTAATTAAATAATGCAAAAAGAATAAACCAAAAAAAGAATAGTTTAACTTAAAAAAAAATGGAAATTTAAAAAAAAACATGTTTTTTAGCTCTTTTCAAAATCTGTCGGGTATCCCCGCCCAGTTACAAAAATTATGTTTTTCGACTGTTTTTTTAGGTATAAATGAAAGTGACCAATGTATTGGCAATAGATGAACCTCATTTATCATTTTTATCACAAAATTATTTTATTTATTACATATTTATATACTTTTAGCGAATTCTATCATTTAATAACAACAATATTTGTTGTTAAAAATGCATATAACATTCAAATTTGAAGCAATAAAATAATAATCTTTGCAACCATACATTTATCGACGAAATAAAATAGGTCGGTGATACCCGACATTCATGTGAGCGGGGCTACCCGAAATCCAATTTTTTTGTAAATTTGTAATTACTCGAACAATTTTTCACACATAAACTTCTTTCTTCGTGCAAATTATACTTAAGACTGCATACTTTAATGCTGCATGTATAGAAAAATTATTTTTTTAGTATTAAAATGAAGTTTAATCGAAACATTCAACCAATTTTTCTTAATTTCATGACTACTGTATTCAACATATATTCAAAACTATTGTTAACCATGTTAACAGCTGCATAAATACTTGAAACTTTAAAAATAATA